AGTCTCTTATGCTCATCAAGGATGTATTTATTTGATCGAAAATACAGGAAAAAACAGTAATGTTGTGAAACATTTTTGCAATTTCTTATATTGGTTTCCTATTTTAATATACTTTAAAATATAATTTATTCCCGTGAAGCAAAGCTTAATTTTCAACATCATTACTCCAGCATCAAGTGTCACATGATCCTTCAGAAATCGTTCTAATATGCTGATTTATTATCAGTGTTGAAATTGTTCTGCTGCTTAATATTCTTTTTTTTGGAACCTGTGATACTTTTTTCTTTGATTAATAAAAAGCTAAAAAGAACAGCATTTATTCAAAATAGAAATCTTTTCTAAAAATATAAGTCTTTACTATAACTTTTTATCCATTTAACACATTCTTGCTGAATAAAAGTATTAATTTCTTTAAAAAAAGAAAAAAAAATACCGACTTTTGAATAGTAGTGTATATTGTAACACAAAATTTATATTTTGAATAAACACTGTTCTTTTTAACTTTTTATTTATTGAAGAATCCTGAAAAAATATCACAGGTCCCAAAAAAATATTAAGCAGCACATCTGTTTCCAACATTTATTATAAATCAGCATATTAGAATGATTTGTGAAGGATCATGCGACACTGAGTAATGATGCTGAAAATACAGCTTTGTTTCATAGGAATAAATTATATTTTAAAGTATATTAAAATAGAAAACTTTTATTTTAAATTGCAATAATATTTAGTTTGTGAAATAATAATCAGTATTTTTATCTAATAGATACAGCCTCGATGAGCATAAGAAACTTCTTTAATAAGCATTATTGATCCCAAACTTTTGAATGGCAGTGTATTATACTGTAAAATAAAAAAAATAAAAAAGTTTTCTCAGGTAGCCTAAAATGTACATCATTTAATCACGGTTCAAATTAAATACAAATAGCACATTAAAGTCTGCGTGAACCGAAAGTTGCTGCCGACTTTATTTCAGTGAAGTGACATATTTCCAGCTGAAACGGAATACTGAGGAGAGGGCGTAGTTTTATTTTTGCGCTCTTCCTCTCAGTCTCTCTCTCATAGCAAACTAATGGTTGGATGGGTGTGTTTAAGGATGTTTTGCCCAAGCCGTCAAACTGACGTCATCAGAAAAGGAATGCCATTCCAGAGCGGAAGTAAATGTTCAGATTTTGATTAGAGATTACCAAAACAAACAATTATTTTCAGCGGATTAACTTGCACGGATTAATTGTTCACATCAAGACTAGCAATGTGCGCTAGTAAAGTAAATAAAGTCAATTTTGATTTCATGCAGACTTTAATATTAATAAAACACCATATACAAAGAGATAAATCACTCACTACTCTTGACTGAAAAACTTTAATACAGTTGCTTTAATAGGAATCAATGTATATAGTGTTTTATTTTTATATTTGTTCATTCATTTTTTTTAATGCTCCTGCTAAATACACCTATTGTAGCCTACCTGAAAATAAAACACTGTTTATTTTATTAGTATATTATGTGTATTTGTAATTTGTATCTTTGTTCTCATTTTTTAATAACAAAGATAAAATAATAAAGATTTTTATCTTCACCCACTTTGGCCTAAATATCCGCCACTTTTTTATATTTTGTTACCTTGAAAGGCTTTGTCGTTATAATAGGGAAATTAGTTTGGCTGTAATGCTCAAACAGCTTGCAAAATAGAAAAACCAACATGACAAATAATCGTCATAAAATCGTGAATCATGATATTTCTAAAAAAAATCGTGATATTTTTGCCATGAGGGGGAACATAAAAGGCAGAATTGGTACTAAATAAAGAGCTGTTTGGGAGCCGAAAGAGACGGGT